AAAAAAAAAAAAAAAAAAAAGCAAAACAGAATCCTAGATTCACAACTCTTCCACGGATCACAGCAGTTAACACTGTGTGAATTTTCTTTGCTTAGCTACTCATGCACATATGCTTTTCATACTATTCTTTTCTTCTCTCCCTCCCGCCCACCTATATATGTAATACCCCAACTCACAACTTCCGCCTTTACTCACGGTTTCAGTCGTCTCACAGCTCCTGCTCACACGTGGACCAACACTACCTTTCAACACCACCTTTCCATTTCAGCAGTTCTGCCATCCTCCTCAAGCCCCTAATATCTCTTGGCTTCATTTCTCAAGTTTACCTTTTCATGCCAGACATACTCATGGTCTCATCATCAATGACCTTGAGAGGAGGAGGAAAGGTGGGTATGGTGGTATGATCTACAACGGCCCTTTTAGCAAAGACAGTGGAAGGGACATTTTTCCCTCCCCAGGACAGCTTTGGCCATGACTCCCCTCATCACCAAAGCCACTGCCTTCCCTCACAAGGTTCTGCCTTGTTCATACCCCTTGCAGGACCTTTGAAAAACAGTTTAAGGAGGCTAGGTGCAGTGGTTCACGTCTGTAATGCCAGCACTTTGGGAGGCCCAGGTGGGCAGATCACGAGGTCAGGAGTTCAAGACCAGCCTGGCCAACATGGTAAAACCCCATCTCTACTAAAAATACAAAAAATTAGCTGGGTGTGGTGGCAGGTGCCTGTAATCCCAGTTATTTGGGAGGCTGAGGCAGAAGAATCACTTGAACCTGGGAGGAGGTTGCAGTGAGCTAAGATTGCACCTTTGCGCTCCAGCCTGGGCAACAGAGTGAGACTCTATTTCAAAAAAAAGAAAAGAAAGAAAGAAAAACAGTTTAAATGGTTAAATGCTCAATTAACTGCTATGGAGTATACTAAAATTTCATATCTGAAAGCTTTTCTTGAGTCAGCTTCAATAAGGAGGCAGGAAGATATGAAACAATTCCTGAGCCCGTCAGACACAAAAGTGACTTATTCTAGGGTATCCCAGACCTGCCAGGGTGTGGCCCAGACCGTGCTGCTATCTTCGCACACATGCAGGGTCAAGAATGGACCTCAGCCGGGCGCGGTGGCTCACGCCTGTAATCCCAGCACTTTGGGAGGCTGAGACCACCCTGGCTAACATGGTGAAACCCCGTCTCTACTAAAAATACAAAAAATGAGCCAGGCCTGGTGGCACGAGTCTGTAGTCCCAGCTACTTGGGAGGCTTAGGCAAGAGAATCCCTTGAACTGAGGAGGCAGAGGTTGCAGTGAGCCCAGATCACACCACTGCACTCCAGCCTGGGCAAGATCCGAGACTCCATCTCAAAAAAAAAAAAAATGTCATTCAGGGACTTTAAGTGAAGGAGTGAAGGCCGGGTAAGGTGGCTCAGACCTGTAATCCTAGCATTTCAGGAAGCCAAGGCAGTTGGATCACCTGAGATCAGGAGTTCGACATCAACACAGCCAACATGACAAAACCCAGTCTCCACTAAAAATACAAAAATTAGGCGGGCATGGTGGTGGACACCTGTAATCCCAGCTACTCGGGAGGCGAGGCAGGAGAATTGCTTGAACCCGGGAGAGGCAGAGGGTGCAGTAAGCCAAGACTGCACCACTACTCCAGGCTGGGCAACAGAGCAAGACAGAAGGGAGGAAGAAAGAAAGGGAGGAAGGGAGGGATGGAGGGACTACTCAGGAGTATCTAATTAAAAGGGAAAAAAGCAGTCCAGGCTCAGCAGCTCACACCTGTAATCACCGCACTTTAGGAGGGCAAGGTGGGTGGATCACTTTAGGCCAGGAGCTCGAGACCAGCCTGGCCAACATGGTAAAACCCTGACTCTACTAAAAATACAAATGATTACCCGGGCATGGTGGCGCATACCTATAGTCCCACCTACTCAGGAGGCTAAGGTACAAGAATTGCTTAAACCTAGGAAGTAGAGGTGGCAGTGAGCCAAGATTGTGCTACTGCACTCCAGCCTGGGCGACACAGTGAGACTGTCTCCATAAATAAATAAATGGGAAAAATGCAGACGAAGCATACTGTTTTGTTTTTTTTTTTTTTTAACATTTATTTACAAAGAACACAACTCCTCTGACACAAACACACACACATTCCAAGGAGGAGCCCATTAAGAACAACAACAGACCGAGGACAACAATGGGGCCTTAGTGAACACTGGTCTGTGTACCCCAGACTAGGGATCGCCGTGAACATTTTCTCAGATACAGCTTTTCACCTCCGAGACAGGAAAAGAGATCCTGACATGGAGGCCCACCCACCTACAAGGCAGAAAGCTCCACACTCAGTCTTCGGCATCGTCAAACTGTCCTGTTTCAAAGACCATCTTGGAATAATGGGGTATCAGTGGAGGCGGATGGTGCCAGCTGGGGTCATAGATCATGTCTCCTTGTGGGGCACAGCACACCCAAGGTTTTAGCTCTTGAGAAATGCTCTCCTGGATGTCTTCAGCATCTGCAGGCAGTTTTAAAAGACAGATTAAGGGAAGGAAGGTAAAAACAGACAGCCAAAACCTTGGACTTAACTTTGTTTAAAAACACACAGAGCCCTCCTTTCCTGAAGAATTGTAAATGCGTTCATTCTGAATAGCTGAGAAGCTGTGCTTCTCAGACAAGCGTTCTTAGCAGTGGAGAGGAAGCAAACTGGATAACACAGCACTTCTTTCTGCAGCTGCTCAAGTCATAGCAGAGATTTTTGGAGCGAGTAACAGTTCTGAAGTTAAAACAGCAATACATGGCTGCGTGTGGTAGCTCATGCCTGTAATCCCAGCACTTTGGGAGGCTGAGGCAGGCGATCACAAGGCCAGGAGATTGAGACCATCCTGGCTAACATGGTGAAACCCCATCTCCATTAAAAATACAAAAAGTTAGCCGGGCATGGTGGCACACACCTGTAGTCCCAGCTACTCGGGAGGCTGAAGAAGGAGAATCACTTAAACCTGGGATGCAGAGTTTGCAGTGACCTGAGATCACGCCACTGCACTCTGCCCTGGGCAACAGAACAAGACACCGTCTCAAAAAAAAAAAGAAAACAGCGATACATCACAGAGTCAAATGCAAAATTTGCATATATGTTTGTTTTCAATACAAAAGAGAAGATGTCACAGAAATTGCAGACCTGTAACAGATACCAGCCTAAGCTCATAGACATGGATCCCTGTTCCAAACCGTCTGCCTTCAGGGCTAGTCTGATAGGTGTGTCTGAGAAGACCAGTTCAGGACCCCAGAGACTCCACACCTACCATATGGATTCCCTTGATCTGCTTTCAACTCCAAGTCCCAGTCCTCATGAAAAAGACCACCAGGCTGTTCCTTGGGTGGACAGTTTGTCCCTCCTGACAGCTCCCAGGTATTCAGTTCTCCATCAGAGTCCTCCTCATCCACAGCAAAGCCTTCCTCTTCAGAATGGGTGCCCTCACCCTGGGCAGGACTGTCATTAGGGACGCTCTGTGCTCCGCGGGCTAAGAAATCAACAAAGAGAAGATAGCCTTAGTGACAAACCAAAGAGGACCTGCTGTGTGCTCAGTAAATTTTTGGCAAACTTACTAAGAAGGTAGTAAACAAGTGTACAGAGTGTTCTTTAGTCACATGAGCACCTTTTGTTTGGTTGGGTTTTTTTAATTCTTTAGAATGCAACAGGAATGAGCACTTTTTAAAAAATGTTGTTCTGGGCTGGGCACAGTGGCTCATGCCTGTGATACCAGCACTTTGGGAGGCCAAGGCAGGCGAATCACCTGAGGTCAGGAGTTTGAGACCAGACTGGCCAACACAATAAAACGCCATCTCTACTAAAGATACAAAAATTAGCTGGACATGGTGGCGGGAGCCTATAATCCTAGCTACTTAGGAGGCTGAGGCAGGAGAATCGCTTGAACCCAGGAGGCAAAGGTTGCAGTGAGCCGAGGTCGCACCATGGCACTCCAGCCTGGTGACAGAGAGAGATTCTGTTCCTCCCCGCCCCCCAAAAAAAATGCTGTTCTGTGTATGTTTTTAGAAGAGCTGATAATTTATTTTCAATAAGATGTTTTGTCTTACACAAGGCCATTAATTGTCAAGTCCTTTAATTTACAAAGAAAGCCAGGGACAGTTTACCTTTTCAAGTGGTTTGCATGTCATTGGGGCAAAGGGCCTCTGATAAATAACACACTTTCAAAATACAAGCTTGAATTGAGCTTTTGTTCTTTTATTCTTCCCTTCTGCTTCAAAGAGCATGTTAGAGGTGAGCACAGGGACAAAGGGGAGCAGGGGCACTGCAGACAGAAGACCAGAGCCCATCTAGTCACAATGGCAGTACCTAGTGGCTCCTTCTGACATCAGGCAGGCCAGAGGGTACATTTTCAAAAGGCCTCATAAAAATGGAAGAAAGACTGGGAAAAGATAATCGATTTCTAAGCACTTAGTGCTATGGTGATGCCAGGTCCCTGGAGAGAAGGCAATCAGCCTAAAACAGCCATGCTCCTAATACTAAAACCACAGTAACTGTGATAAGCGATAAAGTGATAATTCAGAGCATGGGGGCTGGAGACAGACTTCCTGGTTTCAAATCCCTGTTTTGTCAATTACTAAACATGTGACTGGGCCAGGTGCAGTGGCTCACACCTGTAAACCCAGCACTTTGGGAGGCTGAGGTGAGTGGATTGCTTGAGCTCAGGAGTTCAAGACCAGCCTGAACAACACGGCAAAACCCTGTCTCTACAAAAAATTCAAAAAAATTAGCTGGGTGTGGTGGCACGCACCTGTAATCCCAGCTACTCAGGAGGCTGAGTGGGAGGATCACTTAGCCTCGGAGGCAGAGGCTGCAGTGAGCCAAGATCATGCCATTGTACTCCAGCCTGGACGACAGTGAGATCCTGTCTCAAAAAAAAAAAAAAAAAAAAAAAAATGTGTGACTGAGCTGAAATTTACTTAACCATTCCATAACATAAATATAGAATTACCATATGACCCAGCAATCCCAGTCTCAACATATACCCCAAGGAACTGAAAACAGGTGCTCAAATAAAACAAGGATACTCACAGCGGCACTATTTACAATCACCAAAAAGTAACGACAACACAAAAGTCCATCAATGGATGAACGGACAAGCAAAATGTGGTATATCCAAACAACAGAATGATTCAGCCATAAAAAGGAATGCAGTGCTGATAATGCACCTTCAAAATACACTAAGTGAAAGAAGCCACACACAAAAGGACATATGATTATGATTCCATTTACAGGCAACTCACATTTGCCTATCCAGAATAGATAAATCCACAGAGACAGAAAGCAAATTAGTGGTTGCCAGGAGCTCAGGGAAGGAAGAAATGGAGAATGACTACTTGGTGAGCACGGGGTTTCCTTTTAGGGTGACGAAGATTCTGGAACTAGACAGTGGTGATGGTTGCACAACACTGCCATTGTGCTAAAAGGCCACTGAATTATATGCTGTAAAATGGTTAAATGGTAAATGTATGTTATGTATCTTTTACCACGATTTTTTTTTTTTTTTTTGAGTTAAAGTTCCCATTTATTGGCCGGGTGCAATGGCTCACACCTGTAATCCCAACACTTTGGGAGGC